TCAGCCGGCTGTTCTTTCCCACCGGAACTAATTAAGCCGGTTCTATTTTTAGACCTACCGTGTGGCGGAGCTAATTAGTTGTGAAATTAGCTCGCCAATCAATCAGGGTAGGTCAACAGTTACCTAAAACACCAATTTACAACTGACCAATCAGGACACTGTACGAGACAAACAATCAGGTCAAATTTGTTTCAGTCTGTCTCTGCCGGCTTTGTTCATTTCTGCCGGCTTTGTTAATCTCTGCCGGCTTTGTTAATCTCTGCCGGCTTGGTCAATCTGAGGCTCGCTGATTAATGTTCTAATAACGTCAAACTAATTACCGTAATTAATTAGACGGTGGCTGAAATAAACTCCAGTTATTGTCTCTGACCTCTTGTATAGGTTGACGTGGGGGGGGGGGGGGGGGGGTGACGTGATTATCTGGTTGTCTACTGGGGTAAGACAAGGTGCCGAACTCGCGACCCCATGTCCACAGTCTGGCAACTTAACGTGGCCGCTAGACTAAATCAAGGCCCGTAACTCTATTTTAAACGTTAACTGGGAAATACAAACAATTTCACAACGTCGCTAATGTATTGCATAACGTTAAAAAAATATTCTTGGATTAACTTAATCAGCCGGCTAATTAATTTATCCCATGTAACCACTGATGATTGAGATAACCTGAAATTACTTTTTTATCTCTCAGTTCGCACTTTACCCGTTAAGCTGATGTTTTGGGAAACCCGGATAAAAATCATCTGCCGTCAAAATCCGATTTGAAAAGTCCGACTTTCCCCGGTAATTAAATGTTTTGACTGTAGTTGTACTGTTTACTCCCTGCTCGACAACAAATTAGAGGGGGGGGGGGGGGAAATTTTGGGGAGGGGGGGGGGGGGTTGTACTTTAGTGTACGGCTAATCCATTTGTCTAGTTTATTTATGGACTTGACTTGCTCCTTATCGTATGGAGATCAGGGTTTCTTTCCAAATATTTTTCTCCGCGGGGTGGGGGTTGGGGGGGGGGGTGCAACCGATACATCAGGATGACTGAAACTTGTTAAGATATAAAGGTTGGGGGTGGGGGATGTAGCCTCCCCCCTCCCCCACCCATACGAGATGCCTGAAAGAAACACATGACGGTCAGTCAGAAGAAATCCCCCCCCCCCCTTTTTGTGAGCAGTTTTCGTGTTAAGAACAACATCATGGAACAAATTACAAATTACAAATAAAAATAATTGTCGAGTCCATTTTTCCTTCTTTTTAGCGTATACTCTAGTGTATTGACCAAGTTAATCAAGTTAATTAAAACCAGCTGTTTAATTAAATGTTTTATAACTCCCGACATTGAATATGAAGAAAACATAAAGCCAGTGATGACTAGAAAATAAAACTGGTTTTATTTCCGTTTAAATCAACGAGGCTTGATTGTAAGATCTAGAGACACTTTACAGAACAGACGCAATCAAATTTACCCCCCCCCCCCCCCCGTACCCCGCCGCCCCACCCCCTCGCCCCGCCGCCCCACCATACTTGTTTTATTTAGACGACAACTCTGTCCATGAACCGACAACTCAGTTGTTCCACGCGGACAACTCTGGTTGTAGAAATGGTCTCACAGCTTGTCCCCGACCAAATCAAACTCTGGTTTTTTTTATCTACCTATTACATCACCAGTGGGTGTGTCCTACTTTATAAAATGGCCGACACGTTCGTTACTAGGGCCGCTTCCATTAAACATTCATGGGATTTTTTTTTAAATGTGTGAATAGTATTAAACAACTGTGTACGGTTGGGAAAAAATCTTCGGAAAAGTCAAGTGGGGGAGGGGGCGGGTTGTTGCTGGTGAGGGGGGTGGGGGAGAGGGAGGGAATCGGGTTGTAGCGATTGGGGTCGGGCTTTGGGGGTTGGGGTCGGGGTATGGGAGGCGGGGAGTCGGTTTGAGGGGTGGAGTGGGGTGGATCTTATCACTTGAAGAGAAAGGCATCAAACTGCCAGACCCAGATAGTTTAACATCCAGTATCTGATCCAGGAATATTCCAGATCTAACCTGACACATGAACAGCGATATTTATAACAGGACTGGGGTTCACTTGGACACGACGAAAGAGTTCTATCCCTTTAGCTCTGCTACAACTGTTGGGTAGGGTAACGTCAGTTGAGCTCAGTGTTGATTGTCTAAACATTTTTAGGGTGAGGAGGTTCAAGTCTGTTGATTAGCTCAATAGTTTTCATCTACTGCGTGGGTTCATAATGTTTTCGCTGTTCTTGGGTAAAGTATTGCACATTTTAACAACACCAAAAAAAAACGCAGATGAATGTTATTGAACATATTTCAGTTCAGAAAAAAAAATTAAAATACAATGAAAAATGTGGGGTTGTGAGGAAAATGTGGAATTGTGAGAAAATTTGAAATTGTGTGGAAAATGTGGGATTGTGTGGAAAATGTGGGATTGTGTGGAAAATGTGAAATTGTGAGGAAAATGTGAAATTGTGAGGAAAATGTGGGATTGTGTGCTGTGAGAGGTAGCTGCTAGCAGTTTAGTTGTGGTTGGGTCTAGGTTCGGTTACCAGTTGTTGGTTGATAACTATATATCTATGTATATATTGATTTTTTTTTTTCGTTCGGGGGAAGGGGATGACACCATTAGGTGCCGCACCGGGTGACACCCGACCTAGCGAAGCCACTGGTGAGACCCGCATATCCCCCCCCCCCCCCCCACTAATGACAATCTTTACATCAGAGCATGTCATGTAAATGGGAACTGACCACACAGATTAGAGCGTTAATCTGTGAACTTGCGTCCTTAATCTACCGACTCGGCTTACACTAATCCACTAATCCTGGCCTCAGTCGAGTCAGCAAAGAGAAAGCTGGTGTTGGGGTGGGGGAGGGGGAGGGGGGGCAGATAGCGATCTCAGCATACGTGAGCCTGAAATAGCATCAGACAATCAATAAAGACATACCCATGATGAATGTGTTGGTTAACTATACGAAAATAGGACAATCAATAAAGTCATAAACATGACAAATGTGTGTTAGCAAAATCACAAACACATTTGAAATTGTTTTTTGAGCGTTAAAATTACCTATAGAAGTTGCAGCAATGAAATAATTTTAACAATGTGATTTTATTTCATGTGGTTTGCAGTCGAGGCGCTGAAGCTGACTTGTTCGGGCTTCAAAAATTTTTATTTTCAAACTCCGGAAAATCTCATTCGGTTCCTAGTTAACCCTTTAATAACCACATAATATGACCATCTGATTCCAAACTGTTAACCCATTATAGTCCATTCCAGTTGTGTGTTTAATGGGTTTTTAGAATCACTCCCTACACCCCACCCCAAAGTAAAATTATTTTAAAATAAAGACTCTCGACCCTCGTAATAAAAGAAACGTCACAGCTAATGTTTTGAAAAACAAACTTGCAATTAAATAAAAACCTAATACCGAGTTCATTCCTAACCTACCAATGTATTCAGGCGGGTGACAATTCAACTTGAACATACAGCTATTTGCTTAATTACATATTATCACACGTTGAAATGATGTCTGCTAATTACGAACGAAATTACAAAACCTGGTAACAAATGTCAACATGTCGAACACCGTCTAGGCTCGTTAGGGCAGGCCAGCCACATGGGCCAACAGCAGCACTGCCGCTTTATTGTGTTTTGTCGTCATTGATAAAATCTAGACACCACCAAAAGTAGATTGTGTTACAGTGATAGGTAGTCAGCATTCAAATTATTCCCAAAATTTTCTCAGGGAGATGCCTCTCTATTGTAACAACAAACAAACAAACAAGTTGTGGCACTCGAATCAATGTCCGTTTAGAATCAGATGACTGTCGCGAACACCGAGTATATTTAGCGGTCAAAGGCAGGTAACTGATGTAAATTTATTGTGAATAGTTAATCTTGGTTACCTCCCGTGATGTTTGGATTTTTTTTTAACAGCGGTTTTTTTATTTCTCGTATGCATATTATAGAGAAGTGGTTCTTAAGATGTTGGAGTTTAGTGCCTCCAAAAGTGTTGAAAACGACTGTATAGACGGTTATATGTTTTAACAAGCATGAAAGACTTGTTAAGACTTAATATATGCTGATATGATCCAGTTCAATCACTGAAGTCACGGGGATGATGGTCAAAGGCAGATAACCATGTAAATAACAACGTTATCAACAGTAAATCCTGCTTATTTCCCGTAATATTTTAATTTTCATCTCAGGGCATTTTTAGTGTTTTGTTTATTTGTTGTTTTTTTTTTAACATTTCTAAAATAGTTACATTACATTTATTGACATAAACTGATTATGAATCTAAATGTCCGTTGTCTGTTGTTTTTCTTTTTTCTGTAAAAGTTATTTTAAAAATAAAAAAATAAAATTAACCTGTTTTTATGGCAACCAGGTGTAGCCATTTCGTGGCTGTTTAATTAAAATTTTCTATTTGTTTAAATTTCTCAATATTCTGAAATTAATAATATGTTGCTATCAACTAGAACTCTAAGCAAGTAATCGTTCATTTATTTTATTTTTTAAACTAACATAGATTACCCGATCAGGTTTAAATGGATTAAAATTTTTTTTATAACTACTAGTTATAGATAAAAAAATTGTGATTGTAAAAGGTATTTTAGGGTAGTGTTTATTGCGGTCAACAAAAGATGACATACGCAAGCACTTATGTCCTCTAAAATAAACACTATGCTTATATCCTCATACAGTTGAGGAAATAAGCTCGTTGTTTATGTTCTCATCATAGCAAAAGCAAGAAATATCTGATGTTCTAAAGAAAGCCCACATACTGTGTAGATGCAACAAAAGATGCTTATTTCATCTATTAGCTGAGATTCTTAATGAGCAAATTTTATATAATATTTTATTTTTCTGTAATCCCAAATTTATTTCAGCTCTTCTTAAACCTAACACCACCACCAGACCAACAAACAGACCACCATCAATGATGGTGACCAAATGATGTGGGACAACCATGGTAAAGATTGAACAAAACATGCGCTAGAGTATATTGGTTTATTCTGAGCAGTACCATCCAAGTACAAATCATAAAAAATGGTATAAAAATTAGTGTAGTTCATCAATACTTCTCTGTAATACATCCATACAAGTCAAAGTTAACAGGTCAAAGTTAACAGGTCAAAGTTAACAGGTCAAATTGAACAAGTCAAATTTAACCGAGTCTTGTTCTAGTCAAAGTAAACAAACAGTTCAAACATCATTAGATGACTTAACATGGTAAACAAATAGGTAACATGTCAGAAGGTAGGAAAACTTTAAACAATGTACCTCATATGTAATCAACAGTTAGTTGAAAAAGTTCTAAAAATAACAATTGGAATACTTGAGTTCAAGAACAGCTGATACAATTTGAATCAAACAAGTTCACAATCATTGACAACATGTGAAACATGAATTTGTCACATTCAAGCTGAGAGTTAAATATAGAAACATTGGTTTTTCTCACGAAAATTTTGAACGTTGAGGCCTGTATTGGCATTAAGTTGGTGAGGACAGAGTTACTGCACCTGATGAGAGAGTTGACCAGTGAGTTATAGCACCTGATGTTATGGGTTAGCACCACGTGTTGTGTGTTTGACCAGCAAGTCAAAACTCTGGATTTGTCCACACCTAATTATGCCAGGTGTCAATTAATCAAACTTTACTAGTATTGATAAATAATGAATGAACCAATCAAACTTTACTGTTATTGATAAAAATTGTACAAGTCTAATCAACCAAATTGTTAGAACTATCCAGTCACTAAACACCATATACACCATACGGCCATAGACAAAAGAAAATTTTTAAAAAAAAGCACATTTAGAAATTAAAAATAATAATCCGAAAAATAATGTTTCTTCTCACAAATTTAACATCACCTTTTAAGCACAGAAAGAATTAAAGTTTTCTTGGGAAAATGTGTAAGAGAATAAAGATATGCATATTATTACGTTGTATGATCGCGTAACTGTAAAATTTCAAATGTATACAAAAAGACTTCAACAAGTGTATAATAATTGTAGTTTATAATTCACATTATGGGGTAAAAAAAAATCTAATGCCTGAAATTTACACTAATACTTCAATTAAATGGACATTTTTTTGACTTGATTAGTCACAGCTAACTAAAGTCACCAAATTAGTCACAGCTAACTTGAGTCACCAAAGACATGCATGCTACATAATTATTCATGAATTCTCTCAATTTTAAGTTCTAGAAGTACTCGGCAAAAAAGTTTGATGCGTCAATCATTTCAATCATGTGCAGGACTTGGGCAAGGATTGAAGATATTTTACAATCAGCTCACATCACAAGTGAAATGTTATCCTGTGAGAGACTAGCCCAGCTCTAGTTCTATGAAAAACTTTCACCAGTCAAGTCAGTAGAAACAACACAGACATTTTCTTGCTTTCAGAATCAAAACATGTTCTACCTGTAACACAGGTGTAATGCTGGATGTTTACAAACACAAATATTACATCGCAACAGCTTAAAACAAATGAGATGGATTAGTTTAAAGTGTAAAGCAAGACGTCAGTTTTCAAAGATAAGAATGGCTGTTGATTTAGCTTAGAATAAAGTTTAAGTTCTGTTCTGACTGACACTGATGACTGACTAAGTTAATAAACGATTTTTTTTTAAAATATTAATAGACACGATTGAGTACTCCCCATAGACTTAAATCATTTTGAGTTTTTAACTAAAATTATTATTTTAAATTAAGATAGCTCAGATTTTCAGCCAGCCATGTGTTTTTCTCTAGTCAGTGGTCAGGGAAAAAATGCAAAAATAAAATACATGAAAAATTAAATGAAGCAACTTCTACAAGATTGTCTAATATTAGAGTACAATATATTAAACAACAAAAAATAGAGCCTAGCTCAATACATAACACAACCCTCATCAAAACTCAGTTTCTGACCAAAATATTTGACAAACATACAATAATGCTATACATAATTCATTTCATTGCAATGCATATTGTTTTCTGTAAATGTAAAATGTATAAATAGAAATCTGATAAAGAAATAGAAAAGGTAAGACTAGACATCTGTAAGGGAATAAAAAACACAAGCATCAAATCAAACTAGTTTATCAAAACATGTTCCAGTAACATTTTCATTCCTGTAACAAAAGTAACATTTTCATTCCAGTAATAAAACATTAGATTAGCCTAGAGTCTGATACCAGCATCAGTCAACTACCAAAAGAAAACTTCATTGAAAGAATGGTACGTCAGCAATCACACTAAGAGAGAATATAACACAGGGCTTTTGACAAGATGGCTGTAATATGCAACAAATTTGCAACAAAGTTGGTATAAAAAGATCAAGAGATATGGCAACTGTCTGTTTATCAACACAAACATCAACAGCATGTGACCTTGAGGCATCAACACAAACAACGGCATGTGACCTTGAGGATAACACCAGATCACAATACACAACAAGAGTAAGTAGTTCCCAGAAGTCTCCAAACAGTTCAGGTCAAGTCTAGCCACACAATGGTCCAGTCAAGTCTAGCCACACAATGGTCCAGTCAAGTCTAGCCACACAATGGTCCAGTCAAGTCTAGCCACACAATGGTCCAGTCAAGTCTAGCCACACAATGGTCCAGTCAAGTCTAGCCATACAATGGGCCAGTCAAGTCTAGCCACACAATGGTCCAGGCTTGGATGAATTATTTCAAACATTGTTCAACTGAAATGTCACAAGTCTGCTTAAAATCACACGAGAACAGTTTTTTAAATAGCTGATGGCCTAAACAAAACAAGAAATGATAGAGTTGACATGGAACAATTATAACTATTTTGTACAAAAGGCTGGTTTTTCAAAATAGATTCCCCATAAAAATCAGTAATTTCACATACAAAGGCAATACATTTCACATAATCAGTAAATCTAAATAAAAATGATTGACAAATTTTTTAGTGACAAAAATTCCTGTAACACCATGTTTTATAATAAGAAAAAGAATGATACAGGACATTGTTTGCAGCCATTGTGAAAAAAATTTGCAACCTACTTGATGAGTCACAAACCAATTATTTGTAAAATTTGTAAAAAAAAAAAAAAAAAAGTGTTAATAAAATCAACATGCTAAATGTTATTTCATATTTTTCAAAATGTAACAAGACGACCAAAACTTGTACAACAAGTTTGTAAGACAATGAAATATTGATGAGCAAAAGCATTTCAATTATTAGAGTATTTTTTCATCTAGAGATGTAATGACTGCAGTCACAGATACAACAGGATGTCAAAACTGTGACATATGACATGTCAGGGTAACTGATACAACAAGATGTCAAAACTGTGACATATGACATGTTAGGGTCACAGATACAACAAGATGTCAAAACTGTGACATATGACATGTCAGGGTCACAGATACAACAAGATGTCAAAACTGTGACATATGACATGTCAGAGTCACAGATACAACAAGATGTCAAAACTATGACCTATGACATGACTTTTAATGATGATTAAAATCTTGTCCGCCAAATATTTTTATCAAGGCTCCCACAGTTGGTGAAACATATCTGGGTTTAATTGGCATCAACACGACATACACACATGACATACACACACATGACATACATACACAACATACACACACAGTCTACACACATGGTCGACGACCTGTGCAACTCAGGAAAATGTGGGCAGAAATTAATATCTATGGATCAAAATTTAGGTAAGATTGTAATATCTATGGATGTAAAAAAATGTAGGCAGATGATAATATCCACGGATCAAAATTTAGAACAGATAGTAAAATCTATGGATAAAGATGAAATGCAGAAATCACAAAAACAAATCAACCTTTTATCACAATATTAACGATAACTTTTGATTATGCTAAAGAGTCAAGAAATACACAACAAACTCATCATAGCTGGTTATGTGGGAGTAACAGTTTGTGGTAAATAGATGAACCACTATTGTGGTAAATAGATGAACCACTATTTACACAAGTAACGGATGCACCCAATTTTTAAATGAAAAACAAAATGCGGAATAATATATTATTTGAATGAAAATATACATTAGTTACTATACATAGCTATGAAAATTGTGTAAATAATTGTAACCTAATAAGGTTATTTATTATTCTATATGTGCCTCGTCTGTTAGGTGTTTAAATAGACTTTTGTTAAATTATTTCTTAGAACCTCTACACCACCATTGCTGCTATAACCATCACATAAAAAGTTGATTACACTATCAAAACATTTAATTTTCATCTTACTAAAGTAATCTAGCACCAGGCGGTTCAAAAAGTTTTTCTGTTTAAAAATGTTATTTAGTTTCCAGGTAATGCAGCTGTTTAAAAGATTTTCTGTCACAAGTTTGAATCGCAAGAGGAGTGACCCAAAAGTAATATTCAGTGGCCCAATCCGTAGAAAAAAAAGTCTAAAATGACTAGTGTCAGCAACATCGAAACTTCTTGTCCTGTCTGGTGGAGGGGTCGGGCGAGTCAATGTCAACAAGGTCCCTGCGTCGCTCCTCCTCTCCCAGCTTGTTGGCCCGATCTTTCTCCAGGATCTAAGGGGTTAAAGTTTTGTACATTGTAGGGTAGACTATAATAAAATCTTTCTCCAGGATCTAAGGGGTTAAAGTAGGGTAGACAAGAATAAAGATCTTTCTCCAGGATCTAAGGGGTTAAAGTAGGGTAGACAAGAATAAAAATATATCTCCAGGATCTAAGGGGTTAAAGTAGGGTAGACAAGAATAAAGATATTTCTCCAGGATCTAAGGGGTTAAAGTAGGGTAGACAAGAATAAAGATCTTTCTCCAGGATCTAAGGGGTTAAAGTTTTGCACATTGAAGGGTAGACAATAATAAAAATATTTCTCCAGGATCAAGAGTGTTTAAGTTATGTAGGGAAGACAAAAATGTAACAAAATCTTTCTCTAGGATGTAGGGGGTTAATGATGTTTTTCTAGGATCTAGGGATTAAATAAATATCTAAATTTAAAAAAAAATTAAATCAAAAGCAATAAAATGGGTTATCTATGAAGTGTGAGAATTATTTCTGTAAAAGTTTTAATTAAATCAACCCAATTAAAACTTAGGTCCAATAGTAAAAGAAAGAAAACTTACCTTGGTAACTAAAAAACTAAAACTTATATACAACAGTATAAGAAACAAAACTTACCTTGGTAACTAAAAAACTAAAACTCTGATCAAAAGAAAGAAACCTTACCTTGGTAACTAAAAACCTGCCGGCCTCATCAATGTTGATGTTTTCTTTGGCCGAGGTCTCAAACCAGCCGATGAAGCCCTTCTCTTTACAGAACTCATCCATCTGGGATGTGTTGTTGACTAGACCTTCTTTGGCTTGATCGCACTGAAACAAATTTTTTATTTTACTTGATCGCACTGAAACAAATTTTTTATTTTACTTGATCACACTGAAACAAATTATTTATGTTACTAGACCTTCTTTGGCTTGATCGCACTGAAACAAATTTTTTATTTTACTTGATCACACTGAAACAAATTATTTATGTTACTAGACCTTCTTTGGCTTGATCACACTGAAACAAGTTTTATATTTTACTAGACCTTCTTTGGCTTGATCGCACTGAAACAAATTTTAATTGGCCACACTGAAACAAATTATTTATTTTTAGATTGACCATAATAAATTAGCTGTCACAAACTTTATTACCTAAGACTTACTTTATTGGCTAAGACCAAACTTACTTTATTGGCTAACACAAACTTACTTTATTGGCTAACACAAACTTACTTTATTGGCTAACACAAACTTACTTTATTGGCTAACACAAACTTACTTTATTGGCTAACACAAACTTACTTTATTGGCTAACACAAACTTACTTTATTGGCTAACACAAACTTACTTTATTGGCTAACACAAACTTACTTTATTGGCTAACACAAACTTACTTTATTGGCTAACACAAACTTACTTTATTGGCTAACACAAACTTACTTTATTGGCTAACACAAACTTACTTTATTGGCTAACACAAACTTACTTTATTGGCTAACACAAACTTACTTTATTGGCTAACACAAACTTACTTTATTGGCTAACACAAACTTACTTTATTGGCTAACACAAACTTACTTTATTGGCTAACACAAACTTACTTTATTGGCTAACACAAACTTACTTTATTGGCTAACACAAACTTACTTTATTGGCTAACACAAACTTACTTTATTGGCTAAGACCAAACTTACTTTATTGGCTAAGACCAAACTTACTTTATTGGCTAACAAGACGCAGGGGACAGGGGATCCATCAGCCAACTGGACCTTGTTGTCCAAGTCTCCCTTCCATTTTGTCACGGCGTCAAACGTCGACGCCCTCGTCACATCAAAAACAACAAAGGCACCAACAGCTTCCTTGTAGTAAACTCTGGTCATGTTCCCAAACCTTTCCTGCCCTGAAATTAAAAAAAAAGGCTCAAGCTTTGAATCCACCTCAAACCTGGGCTACTCTGTTCTGAAGGCTCATCCTTGTATGATATCCTAATAAGTTTAATCCTCCTTCACTTACCCCCCCCCCCCCCACCCCACAGTCTGCTCAGGTCAAAATGTGAACAAAGATATATAAACAATAACATATTTCTGGATGATTTGAGACATTGTAAGCATTGTCTTGCAAGATTTTGTTAACACATTGCAAACATGATTCCCACATCAGACACCCCACACAACACCCCCACACAGGAGACACACCACCCCACACCATGACATACCTGCTATATCCCACAGCTGTAGACGTATCAGACACCCCACACCATGACATACCTGCTATATCCCACAGCTGTAGACGTATCAGACACCCCACACCATGACATACCTGCTATATCCCACAGCTGTAGACGTATCAGACACCCCACACCATGACATACCTGCTATATCCCACAGCTGTAGACGTATCAGACACCCCACACCATGACATACCTGCTATATCCCACAGCTGTAGACGTATCAGACACCCCACACCAGGACACCACACACCTGCTGACAGTACAGTGTACACGCAACAATATCCCCACACCACCCCACACCATGACACCACACACCCCCACACCATGACATACCTGCTATATCCCACAGCTGTAGACGTATCAATGTGTCAGCATCCCAGTTGAGAACTTTCAGGGCAAAGTCTACACCAATCTGTGGACAAATGTTCATGTATTAACCTGACACGGTAGCACATACAGGTAGGACCTCACACAGTAGGACCTACAGGTAGGACAGGACACAGTAGGACACAGACAGGATCCAACAGAGCAGTACTAAGTTCTCAATTTAATAAACCAGTCATGGCTCAAACACTGGCTTCACAAAATGTCTACTGACCTATTTATTAGAAAAATACACTGAACCAACAGAGGTTATTAAAGTAAAATTTTGTCTACAATTACAAAACAGCAGCACTATACATAACCTATAAGACATTGGCTACACAAAAGGTAGCCTACAAGACAGTGGCTACATAAAAAAGGTAGCCTACAAGACAGTGGCTACATAAAAGGTAGCCAACACAAAAGGTACCCTAAAAGACAGTGGCTACACAAAAGGTAGCCAACAAGACAGTGGCTACACAAAAGGTAACCTACAAGACATATGCTACACAAAAGATGACCTACCGTGGCTCAAGACAGTGGCTACATAAAACAAAAGGTAGCCTACAAGACAGTGGCTACACAAAAGGTAGCCTACAAGACAGTAGCTACACAAAAGATGACCTACCGTGGCTCTATAGTGTTGAGAGAAGAAGGCATGAACATATCTCTTGATGATACTTGTCTTCCCTGTACCCAGCTCCCCAATCACCAAAATTTTGTACAAGAGTTCTTTCTTTTCACCACCACCAGCCTGAAATACAAAGGGGGAAAACTCATCTCATAAGGGGAAATAATTACTTTTTAGGGAAGAAACACATTTCATGCAAGGATGCTGTTAGGACTAACGAGGTCATACAAAAATGACATTTCTTAACTTCATACATCGTAGCAACAAGCCAGACCCCACCCCTAAAAGTATATCACAAGCCAGACCCCACCCCTAAAAGTATGGCACAAGCCAGACCCCACCCTTAAAAGTATGTCACACCACACCCTTTAAACACGTTCAAATAGAATTTTTTTAAAAAGCAAACGAACGGCTAAAGTTCACAGCATTATAAAACTCCAAACCCTTCTTCCCACTAGGAATGTGATGTATGTTAGGGACATCACCTAAAAACAAAAACAACTGGCCTAAAAAAAAAATTTGATGCATAAGTTGTAGTTATTTTTTTTTCAAATAGAATATGTAGAAAGGTGGTGTTAATCCATGTTTTTTTTTATTTTACCCAGCCATGGTCTAATCATCCACAAAAATGATAATCAAGACATGCAGGATACCCATTAAAAAAACATGTACTTAGTTAATGGACTTCAAGAAACCATTTATTACATCACAAGGATAAGCTTTATTTTTAAGTTGACCTACATTAGACCTGCAGTCACATGACTCCAAACATGTGATGTTATTTATAGCATTGTTATAGTTACCCCATTCATGTGATTAGCTCAGACATTAAATGCACAGCTGTGTGTTATCAGTTAAGTAAACACACTTCAAGTACTTAAAAAACAGAATTAATAACCAGTTGAACTCTTAATACACTTCTTTTGTTGGCTAATTTAAAAACCTTTGTAGAGAAGTATGGGTATAATTTGAGATGATCCACTAACTACCTACTTAAATATAGTTGGCTATTCTTTCCCAAAAAAAAACATTTCTAATGACCAGCTTTTAAATCCACTAAAAATTAATAAACAAACATGAGGGTTTTTTTTAGCTATAAAAGTAAAATAATTAGCCATTAATTGTAGTGAGATGATTTCCATTTGAATATTCTAGAAATTCACATGAATTATAGGCCTATATATTTTTTAAAATGTACTTGTTTGAGAAAAATAATTTATGAAATAGTTATTGGTCAAAACGCAATGTGCTTTACTACACGCTGAACGATATTAGTGACAAAGCAAAAATAATAACTAATTAGCTAAAAATCTGACACATTTAACATAACACAGGCACACACTGATTAAGTGACTTAAATGATTCCGTTAAAAATCTGGCTATTCAATGGTCATTATGTTGTTTTTAAGTAATTTGTATTAGTTTGACCGATAAAATTGTATATTTTTCATTGAGTACGTCTTGATGAGTAGATCTATAGATCTAGATCTAAATCAAATTTGAATGAAATAATTCCTTTCTTTATAGTCTAAAATTGGAAGATTCACATATAAAAAAAAATAAAATATTATGTTTGACTTGGTGTGTCTTGTTCACGCACCACCTGCGTGGTATTAAGTACAATATCATCTCAGCTATTTATGCACCTTATAAAACAGGGAGAATGAAAGACGTATCTAAAAAAACTTAACTTACATGAATATGCCTATTCTTTCAAATTAATTTTTGTAACCCAAAATAGCCAGTTCCATAGCTAAACAAACAAAGATTTCTATAAACAATTAAGGCCTGAAATAGTTTAAAAGATAATTTCATTTTTGGAACAGATTCTAGAGTAGATAGTCTAAATCTAGATCTTAGCGACTTAGCATCTACGTCTAGTTTTTGCATAGATTTCATCTAGATCTAGTCTAGAATCTCTAGATCTAGAATCCAAATAGATAAAATAAATTTTATAAGTTTAGGCCCGGAAAAATTGTATTGTGTACATTTCATAGCGTATGTAGATCTCAATCAAATTTGAATGAAATAGTTCATTTCTTTTTATTCTAAACACTGCAGATGACATCATTAGTTAATGTATAAACATTAGTGACGCTACTGTCAGTGAGGGTGTCAGGATCTCAAAGAATGCACAACACGATACAGTATTCTTTATTTCTCTATCTCCCGTCCTCCAGTCCCAAAATCAACCTCCTTGCTTCCACACTCAACCTTCAACTCTCGCCCCTATTCATTCCTACACACCACCTTTCTACCGCTCACAACACAGCCACTGTCACCCGACCAGTCGCTTCACTTGTACCCTTGTTCACTCCGTACAACAACATACACATCAACACACCCGGCCCCGCGTCTCACTACATGATACATACACACACGCAGTGATCCGTTCCACATATTCACCTTTCATACACATTACATCACCACACTGTTTTATGCATTCTTTTTCACAACTATAAGCGCTTTTCCTGTTGCATAATTAAAACTATTTTTCTACATTCGAATACGCCTTTATTTTTTTATTTTTCTTCTTTAAATAAAATTGTTGTTATACATTTAAAGCATCTACCATATTATTTTCAACAAAAGTCCGTATAAAGTTCTCCATATATCGCTGAAGATTCTGACGGGATATCCGGTGAAAATATTTTGCTAAGAGAGAGAGAGAGAGAGTGAAGTGCGCACATTGGCTTTTATATATTAGAATTCAGATTTTCATCTGTGAAGGGTTTTTTAGTGCATTTAAAAGGTTTTTGGTACATTTTTAAAAACATTTCTACTTTATACCAAAATTGTAAAAATGTTAACAGTAATTGAAATAATAATTAGGCTACTGTACTCACCATTTTAAATGTTTAAAATTACTTCAAAGTAAAGTCATAATGCAGAGTGGGAATATATTGAAAAAAAATTGAAAAAACAATCTCTAGCTTTGGCTTACAATAGCCAATAAAAAGGGCAAAAAAGAAAACTTGTTAGATATTTTGTGGAAGTTCCGTCAAGTTTTTTGTTAGGACATTTACATGTGGTTTTAGTCAGGACATTTACAAGGTAGAGATTTGATAATGAGCAAGTCTTTAAATTAGCCTTGTTAAGATAGTGATACCATCAAATTCAGTCAGGAAAATAACATAATAATAGAAATAATTTTTTAATTAATATTTGATCCAATGAGATTTTTTTTTTTTAAGTATTTTTAAAATAAGTTATTAAACATAATGAGTTAGTAAAATGTATTTTAGTCTTAATAAAACAAACTGACTTTTAAAAAACAAAAGTGTACATTTCAATGATGTATAAATTTTTTGAGAAAATGAATTATTTTCTTAAAATTAATTAATTACTTACATTATGATACTGCCTTACTAGGTCTCCCATACTTTTTCAGTTTTGTCAAATGTAAATCCGTTTTCTGATATTTTAATTTTTTTTTTTTAACTCAAGTAAACAGAATACACAATTTTTGCTACAGAAAAATGAGATTATCCTTAATGAATTCAGATGGTGATTTCATTGCATTTTAAACAAAGTTTAACCAAATGACATCATCAATTAAATTAATTGTAACAAAATATTTCTGTTTAAAGATTAGGCATAGCAACACCAACACTTTATCTAATCTCTCTGAGTTGTATGTCACAAAAATAAATAGCTTATGTGAGTGTGCATACAAGCAACCTGTAGCTATTGTCATATGCCTGCCTCAGTCACAAAACACACTAGTCAAAGACGAGAACAAATAAAACAAGCATCATGCATGTAAAGAAGTAAACTGTAAAAAGAGAAGTTTTTGTAAAGTAAAGAGGAATTCTAGGTTAAAGTTCAGATTGTACCATATAAATTAGTTCGTGAACATGCATGCAATGCTGCACATTACAGCCTTACTGTAAAAATTTCTTTTTCTCACATTGAAATATGTTTTAAACCACACCAACAAATTCTAGATAATTAGATAATCACTGGAGAATTAATGAAAATCAAACATATCTTTGAAAAAATTTAGGCCTATATAATTCAATATATATTACATATCTATTTCACATATTAAATAAAATACACAATTATGAACAAGAGATATCTTGACAGACTTCATTTAAAAACAAAAATGTTATGTCCTACTTCATCAGTAGCTTCACATGTGAAGTGGACCTACAATAATACATAGGCACTGCACCTCCCCCCCCCCCCCCCACCAGCACTGCAATGACAGTGCATTTTTCCTTATTGGTGCAGAATTTTAAGTTCAGATTTTTCAATCAATAATTTCACTAAAGGGGAGGGGAATGCATACAGACACTCCTGATACATTAATTGTTCATTAAAAAATATAAATTAATAGCCTGTCTCATTAAATTTTTAAAAATTAAGTTTAAAAATTTCCTAATTTAACCTCATCCATTGCCAAGTAGGTGTATATCATAATATCAATAACAACTTACCAATCACCAAATTTAAGACCCATCTTTATATTTGGACAAGTTAGTTTTTTTCAATATTTAGTAACTCAATTAAAGGCCATCTAAAATCCAGAAAAACAGGCAAGCTGTCCACTTAAATTTATATTAAACGATTTTGCTTTTATAACTTTTTGTTTCCTGTTTTATATATAATCAACTATTATCAAAATATACATCACTAAAAAAATGCACTCTAAATATAATTAGTAATATGCATATCTAAGTTTGTTTTTATTGTAGTAAAACAGTAGGCCTACTATCAAAAAGTCAAAACAAGTTAACCTATATTACTTTATTGATAATTTCCTCAATCAGCATTCACAAAAACTTATATTACTGAAGCCACTTTGTTTTAAAATCAAAGTACTTTCTTCAAACCAGAAAAAAAAAATTCAAAAGATTTTCTGGTATAAAACTGTTTTAAGTGTTTTAAGGTCTTGCATTTATTTAACAATGAGCTTTTTACAGATAAACCCCCCCCCCCACCCCAATTTTCAGAAACCAAAAGTAGCCTGGACCATTGAATCAGAAGTCATACTAATTTATAACAGAATATAACAAGATGACAGGCTTAAAAATCATACCGTAACATTAAACTTTATTTAGTCTATTTTGCTGCCGGCAGCTAGATTGTAGGTCTAGTGTAGAGTTGTTGAGACTAAAATAGTAGTTGTAGATTTCATGTAGGGCATTGTAGGGTCCTAGATTCTACTAGATCTAAAACTAACTCTAAAAGACACTCCTCTCTGTCTAGTTTGTAGTTAGGTCTAGATCAGGGGTCTCCAAACTTTTTAGACCGAGGGCCACATTAACTATCGAATTTCAGTTTGGGGGCCAGTTTCTTCCAGGCATGTCTTTGATTTCTCTGGGCAAAGGTCCTCAACCATCACCAACAAACGATTTTTCCTTAGACAAAAAGATCTCCGTGGGCCGGATGAGAGGACTTCGCGGGCCGCATCCGGCCCGCGTGCTGTAGTTTCGAGACCCCTGGTCTAGATTGTTAAAATTTAAAAATAGATTATAGGCCTGTCCTAAGAGTAAGTAGGCTACTACAGTTATACTTTAGTAGCCTATATTCTATATATTATATATTTAATATATATATATAGTATTATATAGATAGGGGACGGAGTGGTCTAGCGGTAGAGAGCTGGACTGCTAACCTGTAAGTCTCGAGTTCCACCCAACTCTGATGGGTACCTAACCCACGTTAGGGAAAGTAAAGGCGGCAGAGGTCACAGAAACAAGTGAACTCTACTTGCACTATAGGCCTATAGTCTATAGATCTTGGTCATTCTAGGTTCTAGATATAGACTAGTTATAAACTACTGAGACGTCTGAGAGTGTTGTAACTGAGCTATACTTCGGTACTAACTGTAATTGTACCTCTTCTAATTTTTTTCTTTCTCTAAATCTCTGAGCAGAGTTTCTTCCAGGCACCTTTGAGGGGGGGGGGGGGCTTTGCCCCCCCCTCCCCGAAAAAATTTTACCGCCCCCCCCCCCCTCCCCCGAACGAAATGAAATTTATATAATTAATAGAAAATATATACTTTTAACAGTGTCCGCCCCCCCCCTCCCCCGAAGAAAGTCTACCGCCCCCCCTCACCCCGAAAATTTCAAGTGCCCCCCCCCCCCCGGAGAAAAAAGTCTGGAAGAAACACTGCTCTACTGGATAGGTAGATAATTGATTGAATTAGGCCTATTAGTATCTAGTTAGTTAGTTAGATATAGATAGACTAAATTTTACTTTTGTAGGCCTATCTCATCTCACCATCTGATTTGAATGCTCGGCTTCGGGCTTTAATAAATTTATGAATTTATGATATTTATTTAGGCCTATTTAATTTTAAAGTATTTATGGCACTTTGACTTTACTTTCGACTTTTCACACTTTAGTTTAGTTAGGCCTACCGTTATTTTTTTTTAATTGGTTAGATCTAGATCTAGACCGGTCTAGATTCATGAATAATTTTTTTAAAATCTAGACAGAATAGATTTTAGATCTAGATCTAGATTTATGCTATGTCTAGCTAGATTTAGAAACACCGCCCTCGTTAACCCACGGCCCACACACCACAAATCACTGAAATCAGCGCAGGCTCGATGAGTCTGAGTCAGTCTGACCGCAAAAAAAAAAGCACTTGAAAAAGCTGTTTCACCATGTTAAATTTATTACAAATAGCTTTAGTTTAACACTTAAAAAAGTAATAACAGTGAAAAACTGAGCTTATATTAATAGACATCAAATTTACATTCTAATAATAGAGAAGAAACAAAAGTTTTAATTTCGTTACTTACCATTTTAGTGACAAGTTAAACCGGACTGAACTCCAAATAAAAAATTACAGTCACATGATAGAACCGAAAACCGTACCAACGTAAACAAACAGTTGTCGTAAAATCCCCCCCCCCCCCCCCCCCTCTCCTACCTCATCTTCCCCGCTATTACAAATAAACACGAATCGTTGATTTTCTTTAAAAAAAAACGTTATAGAAATTATAAGATTTTGTTTGTGATTGGATCTGTATAACAATTATGGGCCTAAATGTCTAACCATAATGTAATTACTGTATTATTTAGATCGGAAATTTCACGCAGCATGTATTTTATATTTTAAACCAAAACAAATTGCAATTGTTCATAAGGTCACAAACTGTAATAAAATGCAGTGTAAGTCTACGTAAGTCAGTGTGTAGCAGTATTACGTAACTTTAGTCTAACAATGTTTTTATAAGATTTTATTTAGTTCACAATGTCGGTCTGTGAATTGTTTGTTTGCAGGTTTACGGCGAATCTCAATTTGACCCATTTTTTCTGCACTAATCTCCAATAAATATATAATCTCCGTTGACAACGCAAGAATAATAATTTTTTAAAAAAACGATTTATTTAATTTGACAGTAGATTAGTCATTCAAATTTAATTTTAAAAGATTACAAAATTCAATTATAAAATGGGAGATCAATACAGTTATACAATAAAATAAAAATAGATCTATATCATAATAAGCTTTTAAATGCTCTGAAAATTAAAAACAATAACAAACTCGGATCGTTTCCTTTAATAAAATTTAGTCGATCTTGAAATATTTTTTTTACATATTTTAGCGACCAGTGTTGGTATTAAGAAAGCAAGTTTGTTTTATTATTGTTTTAATTTGCATTTAAAAGATTATTATTATAGAATTTTCTTATGATTATTTTATTTAACCATAATGCGATTTGTGGTATGTGTAATTGTGAAAACGTAGTGGTCCTTATTAAAGGCTTTGGACTTAAGACAGTGACGATTGGGTAAGGTTGGTTGTAAGAAAGTGTAACTTCAACTTCACACTTTGCAAGAAATATTTTTTTACAAAACTGGAAATTATAGCTGTAATTTCACATTTTAAAAGACTATTTTTTTTGTCAATTCGTGGTCTACCAAAGCTGGGCATGAATCGTCATAGATTGTTTACAAAAGTTTCAGTATTAATAAGCGATTAGCAATGTTTTCGGCATAATCAGTACAGCTATTTTAGATTTTAATAATGCGCTATATTATTTTCTTTGGTTTACAACAACTAATTGATAAGTTATACATGACGGTGACCATAGTTTCTATACATTTGTATGGCCTACACTAGTTATTTTAGTTTCCATATGGCCTACACCAGGGGCGTCGCGAGGGGGGGGGGGGTGGGGGCGGGTGGTACGGACCGCACCGAGTGACACCATTTAGGGGGGTGACACCTAGGCAAAAAATAGCAAAATATATAGAGAAAAACTTGATGGGGGGGTGCAAATCGAAAACTTGAGGAGGGGGGTGCAAATCGAAAGTTTGAGGGGAGGGGTGAAAATCGCAAACTTGAAAGTTTGTCCCCGGGAAGGGTCGCAACGCCTCTGGGGGGGGGGGGGGGAGGGTGACACCATTAAGTGCCGCACCGGGTGACACCCGACCTCGCTACTTCACTGGCCTACACTACTATAAGATGATATCTGTCACTTCTCAGACTAAACACGCCTTGAGAAATTCGTGAATTCTAGACAGGTCATTTATTTTTTATCGTAAACGTGGTTTATCCGGGGTCATGACTAATTAGTCACGCTTGACTAGCCCAAGCTGGCACAGATAATCACGTTCAGTTGAGATGGCGTTCTGTACATGAGATGTTATATGGGGGGAGGGGATGAGGAGGTGAATAGTGATGGCAGTTGAATGAGGTGGGGGCAGTGGCGTAGCGAGGTCGGGTGTCACACGGTGCGGCACTTAAAGGTGTCACCCCCCCAGAGGCGTTACGACCCTTCCCGGGGACAAACTTTCATGTTTTCGATTTGCACCCCCCCCCCCCTCAAACTTTCGATTTGCACCCCCCCCCTCAAGTTTTTGATTTGCACCCCCCCCCCCCTCAAGTTTTTCTCTATATATTTTGCT